GAAGATCTACAAGGTTGAGGTCGAAGCATTTTATCCATTTAGAGTTGTAGTCGATATGAAGGCCTGGTTTATTGACGCTTATCCATAAACGCATACAAATAAGTCCCCTTTCGGATGGGAGATGTCGGATCTATGGCGCCTTTCGTTTTACTCGACTTCATGGGCTTGGTTTTTTGTTTTGGAGACGGCATGTCAACCTTGTTGAAGTGACCTCAACAAGTCGCACGATCATCTCAATAGCCATCTGGTCTGACGTTCTCCATACTCTCGCTTTCTTCTAGGGTCAGCCCAAGACGAGCGGCGGGGTTGGACGTGCTATAAACAATCGCACTTGTTGAGAGCGAACGGACACAATTCTCTCGCGTGCGATCATGAGGGGATTACGGTTATTAGATGAGCATTATTATATTGGCAGTAAAGGCTGTGAAGTGCTAACGCATAGTGGAGAGCTCAACGGAATGGTCGACGAGAAGGGGTGAGAATGTGAGGAATGGCAAGGGAGAAACGCCTCAGGAGATTCGGAAGAACATGAGGAATGGTGAGAAAAACGTGAAACGGATGATTGACCATAGCAGAGCCGAGAGAAAGACAGCAAAATCAAGAGTGTATAAAATCTACTAATCTCTGAATAGAAGTAGCAAAATGCTTACATTTGACCACTCCTTGCAGTTGTCTCGGCTTGTTGGTAACGGCAAACTCGTCATCTTCGTCATCTTCGGGATGTTCATCTTCTAAAAGATGTTACAATTACTTTATAAAATCATCCTGATTGAACTATGGCCCTCTGTCAGAAAACAGAACAGTAACCGCAAATGTAATAGTACAGTACTCTCGAAATTACTCGAAGTTGTAGCTAACTTAGTAGGCATCTTAAGTTAAGATGCGTAAAGTGACCGATTTTACAGTAACGGAAATTCTGTGGTAATCAGAGATTAGAATTGGTATAGTGACTTGATGGTCTGGTTTCCGACTTCTAGCCTGCAGGGTATATGGGACCTTACCAAAGAGCCTTTCCTCCTCCAAACAATGGCAGAATTGCACAATCCCTTGCCAAGAGGACAAAACCCTTCGTTGATCCTCAAGGGCTCTAGCGAATAAATACATCGGCCAAACACCCGTTTGAATCCTTCCTTGATCCCAGCGGAGTTCCGATGTGTGGCGCACTCCAAATAGGTAGGTAGATTCTACCCCGTTCACGTTTTGAAAAAGGGTACATTGCAACTGGTAGATGGTGCCCTATCGAAGTCCCTATGAACCGCACGTTTACCAGTTTCTGGAGACAGCAAATCCATGTTGGCCTATACTGAATCAGTCCTTAGACCCAATGCTCTCCCAGGAACCGATCGTCGGCGAATTATTTGGAAATATTGATTGTTGACAGTCGATGAGAGATATTTCACCTCGGTTCATCATAACACTCGCAGATACACACAGCAGATAGAGTGCCGCACCAGATAACACACGGCCGCCAGCCTGACCTCGAAACTGATACAGAGGGAACTACCGCTGTTGTCTATATTACTGAGCAAGATTGAAATTACGCTCACACTCCAATTTGAATCAGCCTGACTGTCCTGATCAGGGGGTGGCTAATTCGGTCTCTGAGCGACAGTGTGAGGGGGGAAGACAGAAGGTTCAGTGCAAAGTTCATCCCAGAGTTGAACGAGCATGCTGACAAGGCACTGAAACCGCTGGTAGGCTGCGCCAATACCTAAGAGAGCGAAGAAACTCGCTCAGAATTATCACATTCCTCAGAACGCTTACCCTCCCTGAAGCTTATACCCGCTACTGTAGGTGAGCTCAGCTGCTTCAATGTCCCTCTGCCCTCTTCGTCCACCTCCCTCCCCCTCGCCCTGACCCCCCCCCCCCCCCCCACATGAGCGCAGCTCACCACATAGGCGACATGAAAGAAATAAAACGCGAGGGCCAATTCTCATGAAATGACCGCGCTAAGGGTCACTTGACACCATCACCCGATCAAGTTACACCTCTCACTTATAGACACTCAGACAGCCGCCATAGACTAGTTCACCTTTATTATACTTGCCTGTGTGCTCGCTACATTGTGCAAATACCAAAAATAAGTGTCAATTTTTTCGATGCTCTAGTAATTTTTAGCAAACTCACGAAATTGCGTGTAGCGCTCGATTCAGAAATGATTTCGAGAGGATGTAACGCTGCAGCTAACGTTATGACCCTCTAATAATTCAACAGAGAAGAAGGAAGAAAACTGAAGTAGAGAACAGAAAAAAAAAACAGAAATTTATATATTTGGTCGAAGAACCCAGCCCCGTGTATAGAAGAAGCCGGAGTGGCTTTGCGACATCATAGCTATGTGAAATAGACTCGGAAAACTATTTCTTTCGAGAGCGACGTCAGTCCCACAGCGGAAGAAACGACGGTTCTCCGTAGGTGTAGAGATGGGAAAAGCCATTCAAAAGCAGTGACGTATGTATGTGAAAAACAATAGGGAAGCGTCGTCGGAATTCGACATTCTTCTCATATCTCACTTTTTCGATGGCACGGTCTGAATCTCCCTATGGGCGAGAATTTGTTCCAAGGAAAACTGAGGCATGCGTGAGAAATTTTCCAAATTCGATTCTTCAAGAAAGAGTGACACGGCTATCGCCCGCTTCTCCACCTCCTCAAGCACCCAGCTGGGTCGTCCCCCTTCACGCCCTCCCCCTCCGCCCTCCCAAGAAAAAAAAAACAAAAAATACCCTTACTTGTCGATCTCGGCCTGGGTGAGGACATGACATACTACAACCAAACTAACAAAAAAAACAAAAGATTTCATAAGAACAATTGAAAAAAAAATGGTTCTGGTGCATCGGGTTACTGCGGAAGAAGTCGTTCCCACTCTTCATACCATTGATATACCTGTGTACCCATTTGATTGTCTTCCCTTCTAAGACACTAATACCACTTTTTTGATATCGCTAGACTGAAGAAGCGCTTGTGCAATTGCGGAACGCATGATTGGAGTATGTGATTAGCCCACTGATCGCAATCGCTCTCTTCTTTTTGAGCCCCTGCTTCAAACAAATGAGGCTAATTGTTGAAGTGCTGCAGCTGTTATGTTGCTAGGAAGCTTTCCTAGTAAAATTCGAAGGCTACCTTCTGCCTAAGGAAAAACCATTGGAGTTTTGCAGTTGTAAAGAGCTGAATACAAACTTGGAAATAAAGGCAGCTCAGATCAGGGTGAAGAATGCGTTGAGGACTGGGCCGCTATTCGGTACGACAATTTCTAATGGATGTCAAAACGTGAGATCTATTCCTAGCATTTAAGTACCACCGCGAGGGCTTCAAAGGATGAAATGAGAATATTTATGCGTTGACGTGCTATTTCCGTTATCCCATATACCCATTCGGAAAATCAAAACCACACAAATCCCAGCACCCGCTGGGACAAATAAATAAAAAAATACCTCCCTGAAGAACACTGATCACGCTGTCTAGGTATCTGCCTGCAGCACGGTTTTACGTTTCTGAGCAAGGATCAGGAGTCGGTTGAGCGAGCTTCATAGAGTGCTGCACTTGTTGTGTTCGGATTGGGCTGAGTTGTATCGAATGGGAAGGTTGCTCACTTCTTGGAGATGAGGGAGTGTTATTAATTATACATTTGTACAATTTATGAATTTCCAGGAAGCTTATCTCAATTTTTTTTCGGCGGGCTTCTTGTAAATTTGAAAAAGGATGTTGCTGACTCTAGAACCAGCTGAAAAAAGGTAGGAAACTGTCAAAATGACACCGCCTTTAAGGGAGTGGGACCCAAAAGCTCAACTATAGAATGCAAACTCAAAATTTTGCCGGATGCGATGACCTCGGTTCTAAGCAATCTCAGGAGTATAAGACTCGCAAATTCGTCTAGGATTTATGGCAGAAAAGGAGATTCCACGCTTGTATGTCATTCGCGTGGAATGGTCTCCTCACAAATGGCAGGCGTGTGCGTGGCACAATTTGTGGAGGTGACTACAGTAGCTGACATTTATTCTTCAAGTAGAAGAGCTCACTTTCTATTCGCATTTCTTTTTCCACTGCTAAACAAAACCATGAATCCCAAGAATTTATCTGCGCTCTTTACCTTGACCTTAATTCAGCCGAAAATATCTATTAAGTTGCAAAAAAGGGCCAGTGCGCGATAGGGTTATATATCACCAATTCAACTGGAAAAGCCTGCGCAACCCTCCCATAACGTCGCTTATCGTAGTGCAAGTACTTTGGTCGTAAAAAGACTCCCTGCAGATGAAGCCGCGATACTTCCGCGCATTTTGCATTTCCCCTAACACAAAGCCACTTTTTGTTGTTGTGCAAACGCTTCAATCTCCGCCAGATGTGGAAGTGCAGGACACGGTGAAAGAAATCGGCAAGCAAGGCGGAAGATCGCTCACTGCACTTGTCTTGCCTGCTAAGCCGCCTTACGATTGATGGACACGATAAGTGGCCTTTCACTTAAAGTACACCAAGAAAAAGTGATCGACGAAAGGTGGCAGTTTGGAGGGAAACACAGAGCAAAAACGTCTCTGTGAAAAACCGACAATCAAGATTTCAAGGATTACAAATGTCAGTTCAGAAACTCGTTATTACGGTTTGTGGTTGGAAAACGAACCGGGACGGATCATCAGAGCGCAAATACGCACTGAAACATTGCCGTACTTCTTTACATACTGACTTTACTTCCACCAATTTGTGAGTTTGCCATGAAAAGATCAGAAAGTGGTTTGTTGGGAGTTGATTTGGGAGTTGATAGCAATTATGTTGTTGCAAAGTTATAGATTCATGGTGTTCATAGAAAGGATGGGAACAGGACGCACACGAATTTCCGAGAGCCTCTTTTGAAAGTAAGGGCTAAAAGAAGGATTAAATTGAAGAAATCGAGTGAAGTGTAGAGCGAAATTTGGTGGCAATGAGAATTCATAGAAAGCATAACATTATGCGAGGCGGTGCTAAGTGACCGAGGAGGCGGGGTACTACGAGAGAGACCGTTTGGTCAGTGGCGCTGAAGATGGAATAAACAACATTGGGCCGATAAATTACTAAATATACATTTGCTGCCAAACATGGTTCCCTTCAGGAGCTTATGAGAAGCTGGAATCGTTCGACTGAAACCACGCACCAGACTAAGGCGAGCTTTTCTTGTTCTGGACATCCAAGACTAGATCGCAAAAATCGACTTTAAGAGGAAGTCTGACCAGAATGGAGAGCCACAAGTTCACAGGTTATGATACGTAATGTAGCAGATTAGCTAGGCAAGGTCTAGAGGCCGGGTCTCTTTTAGAGACTCAGGCTTCTTCCTAGTGAGGTGGAAATGCCTCGGAAGGCCAATGGGTTTGCTAAATATCGGACATTTTGCCTAATTATGTTACCTCGAGCATAATAGGACGGCAGCAGAATTGGACCCTTTTGGCTGATATTAACTCAATTTCCCTCATAACAAGAAAAAAACCACAGAGAGCTCAAGACCATTTGAATCTAAATTTTGAGATCCATTGTTTTTGGTCGGAAATTGGTTTGTGTCTGAAAAATGTTATTTGTCTTCTCCGACTAAAGAGGAGCTCAGTCATTGGATGATTAAATTGATGATGTATAAATCAAAAAGAGCAAGAAGAAGTCGAGCGGTCCAAAGTAGATTTCCCAAATTCAAACCAAATTGGCTTTTCTATCTCTTATTTAATCTGAAAAGGTTATATTTCTATGAATTCCGGAAAGATCTACAAGGTCAGAGGTCGAAGCTTTTTATCCATTTTGAGTTGCAGTCGTTCTTACGCTGGAGAAACCAAAGCTAGCTTATATATGAAGGCCTGGTTTATTGACGCTTATCCATAAACGCATACAAGAAGCTATAGTCACGCCTCTTTGCGGGTCAATATGTAAACGAAGAATGTGACGGCCCTTCATATAGTGACTCATATGCTGTCGTTTTTGAGTTCTCTCTCCGGTTTTATTCTTAAACGACCCGGTTCGTAGTTTTTCGTATAGGAAAGACGGCATGACAACCTTGTTGAAGTGACCTCAACAAGATCGCTCAAACGATCTGGCATCCTCCCAAAAGAGGCGCACATTACTGGGGATTCAGGTGGAAGTTCTCCCATCACTCCTCGCTTTAACTGTTAGGGTCTCAGCCCAGAGACGAGCGGCGGGCGGGGTATCGACGGCTGATAAACAAGCGCACTTGTTGAGATGCAACGGCACCAATTCTCTTCGCGTGCGATCATGAGGGGAATTTTCTTTTAACCGCGGTTAATTTTTAAAAAAAAGATGAGCATTATTATATTGGCAGTAAAGGCTGTGAAGTGCTAACGCATAGTGGAGAGCTCCACGGAATGGTCGACGAGAGGGGGTGAAATGTGAGGAATGACAAGGAGAAACGCCTCAGGAGATTTGAAGAACATGAGGAATGGTGAGAAAAACGTGAAACGGATGATTGACCATAGCAGAGCCGAGAGAAAGACAGCAAAATCACAAGAGTGTATAAGATCTCTAATCTCTCTGGATAGAAGTGAGAAAATGCTTACACTTGACCACTCCTTGCAGTTGTCTCGGCTTGTTGGTAACGGCAAACTCGTCATCTTCGTCATCTTCAGGATGTTCATCTTCTAAACGACACCACAGTTACTTCAGAGAATTATCCGGATCGAAGCTTTATGACATACTCTTTGTAGGATATCAGAATAGTAAACTCAACGGTCGATAGTACGTAATCGGTAAAATTACTCAGAGTTTTCAGTTAACGCGTGTGAGTTCATTTCATTCATATGGCAAAAGTGGTAGATCTTTTCATTCACTGAAATTCTGCGGTATTTAGAGACTGGACAACGATTCGAAGATTTAGTGCGCCACTTCTAGCCTGCATATATGGCCTATGGGATCTCATCAACGAGCCTTTTTTACCCCAAGCATTAGCAAACTGCCACAGTCCTTTTCAGGGACATAAACTTTGCCTGATCTCAAAAGCTTTTGCGAAGGGAATTATCGGCTACAACACCTGGTTCAAATCCATTTCTTGTCCCAAACGATTATGCTGGGCGCTCTTCAAATAAAAGGATTCGATCCAATTCACGTTTTGAAAAAAGGCGGGTACATTGCAACTGGTAGATGGTGCCCTATCGAAGTCCCTATGAACCGCACGTTTACCAGTTTCTGGAGACAGCAAATCCATGTTGGCCTATACTGAATCAGTCCTTAGACCCAATGCTCTCCCAGGAACCGATCGTCGGCGAATTATTTGGAAATATTGATTGTTGACAGTCGATGAGAGATATTTCACCTCGGTTCATCATAACACTCGCAGATACACACAGCAGATAGAGTGCCGCACCAGATAACACACGGCCGCCAGCCTGACCTCGAAACTGATACAGAGGGAACTACCGCTGTTGTCTATATTACTGAGCAAGATTGAATTACGCTCACACTCCAATTTGAATTAGCCTAACTGTCGCGATCAGAGGGTGGCTAAGTCGGCTCTAAGCGCAATGTTGAGGAGCTAAAATGTGAGGGGGAATGACAGAAGGTTCAGAGCGAAGTTCATCCCAGAGTGGAAAAGCTATCCGATTTCTGCAGGTGTCCAGGTTGAAAATACAGAGTAGGCGTTGCTCGCACACAGCTCGCCCAAATCCATCCTTTAAGGGCATACTCAAATGCTTACAGTTTAAAGCACATTGTCGAGCACTAATATTGGAAGCAGTTATGACTGATTGGCTTTTCAAAGAACTAACCACCACAAACAACTCATATCACAACACTATTGTGGAGAATTGCGTATGCGTGTGCGTTCTGGGGATCGTCCTCGCCCGGGCCAACCAAGCCTTCCATCCCTCCGGGGTCGTTAATTGGTACCAGACTTGTCTGGGAGGATAAAAACACTGACTTGTACATCGGCTGGCCCCGCAAGTCATTGTATAGGCCACATCGCATTCAAACGCCACTACGAATGTACAAATGGAAGTAGAATGCGTGCCGCATCCCAAAAAGGGATTGATCAACGGCAAATGCTTTATCCTTTTTTTATCCCTTATGCTGCGATTTTCACAAGGTAATAACTTCGT